CCTGTGTAACCGACAAGGGTAAGACCCAGGTGATACACAGGGATTCAATAACACCCCTCACAAGGGCAGACAAAAATCTACCAGGGAAAACTTCTAGGAAAATGTTTTTCTATGGCAGGCAAGGTGTAACTTTATGTATTATAATTATTAATGACAAGAGTAGCCAAATTCTGGCATAAACGTGGCAAAATTTGGGACGAAGAACTTCTTCATGCTCGACTACGAGTATTCCCACTTTCGCTTAGTCCGTTAGCGAGACCGTAAATAAAGCGCGAGGAAAAAATGGCCGCGTATAGCAGTTTTTTCTTTCGTGTCACGCACGACGGACCAAGCGAAAGAGGGACAGACTCAGGCTACTCGTAGTCTATCTTCACACAGAAACGTTGATCTCTCGTTCTGTCATGCGCGTGTGATTTAAGTAGGAAAATAGCTTATAACATTCTATGGTCTACCATCTTATACACCATATCAATAACAATTAAAGACCACTCGTAAAACCACTCGCTTCATTGATGGTGCCGTTTGAGTTTAGGCATTGAACATTTTATGAGCATTTCTGTAGTCCAACAGAGTTTAGAGCGCGGAAAAGTGTCGTGGTTTGTTAACAGTATGTTGGAACAAAAGCAAAAACAAGCGAGGTACAGACCTGTCGAAAGCGATCTAAGTCATCGCCAAAAGTAGACGTTACTATCTCCATATAAAAGTCACGAAAAAAACTCGTATTATCTTTTTTCTGTATAAGGAAAAGATGCTCAGGGACGCACCTCGGGGGGAGGGGGGTCGTGGGGTGCTCGTGACTCCCCCTTTTGTAAGCCCTTTTTCAGCAGACACACCATAAGAAAAGGCAGGAATGAAGGGCTTGGAGGATTAATAAAACTTGGTCCCAGAGTGAACAAAGTCATTGGAAGCTGCCATTTCTTACGACACTGAATTAAGCACACTCTGTCACATGCTCACACTCCCGTCTCATGACAGATCAGTTATTTCGTCCTAACCAATAGCTGAACTGGAAACACCAGTCAGAGTAAATTAAGCGGCGGTAACGCAAGTCAATGATCACGTATTTGAACTGCAGGATAGTGATTTAAAGACACTGGAGATCATCTTAGTTACTTACGTAACTTTAGAAAGCTGCGAAAAAAAAGCCTGGGAAAAAAAAGAAAATCAGGCTTCTCGCACGCTCATTGCCTAATTTTCATTGTCAATAAGCGGATGGACACATGAATTTATAATTTACCCAATGTTGACGCAACGTGCGAGAGCAGACAACTTGAAAATTGTCGGTTATCGCAAAAAAAAAAAAAANAAGAAAAGAAAAAAACAAAAAAAAAACAAATGAGAGGATTACGAGTTAAAGAAAAATACGAAAGTCATGAGCTTTATAAACCAAACGAGTATCTGTGCCTTGAGAGCAATTTTAAAATTAATTCTCTTCTTTCACGTGTGAACCACTATGAAGACATGATTGATCATGGCAGTTATATACACAACTTAAGCAGTTGTGAAATTGACGCCGCAGCGGCACAACGCCACCCAAAGATTTATAGAGTACCCCCGCCCCCTCTGCAACAGCAAGATTAGTGGAGCTTTTGTAATTTCCGAGTCCCTCCTTGAACAGCATACCCTAACTACATTACAACAATCGGAATGAGGTTGGTTTAATGAATTAGAAATAGTGCGAAGTATCCCGCCTGGAACAAGTTCCGTATGCTTTCTTTTTCGAAATTTCTTTAATACCATATTCCCAATTTAGATTCTGATCTTCTCACTGGTGGAATTTCACGGTAGAAAATTGCTACAGGGTTTTTCACTCTTGGTTTATTTTGATTCCAGAACTCTCAGGATAAGTGGACAATCTCTGCCTAGAACCAGTTAATGAAATTCTATTTTTGTCATATTCAGTTCATACTATTCTATCGAATCTAATTTGAAACGGAGCTGCTCTATTAAGTGTCTATAGGAGTTTGTATTGACCATCATGTAAAAACTCCTATTGAAAGCTCCATATAGAAGCTGTCATAGTAAGTTTAGGTCACCTGCTGTTATGTCACATGAGTATTCTCCTTAGGACAAACATTTTTTCCGAGATGTTCTGCCCTTCATTGTAATCTTTAAGATTTCTGCATGTTTAAGGGTTGGCACGAAGTCTTTTGCCGTGTGAAGTCAGAACTTGTTTGTTCTCGGCCGTGTCAAAGAATGGCATTGTAGCACGTATTCTAGACGAAGTTTTATAATGTGTTCTTTTGTCGATCCGTTTATGTTTCTTTTTGGCATCTTAGGATAAGACAAGTTGATTTGCATGTACCTTGACGAAAACGAGTGTAACCAAGGATATGGTTTTCTGTTTTCAAATGTAGGATTTTGAGTAAGCGTTATCGACGGAGGACGTGAGACTTCAAGTTGCTGCGTGTCACACAACAGCGATCGCGTTGTTGTGACAAGCAAGAACCTGCAGTACCAAGAGCCACTTGTCCAGCGGCAGCCGACTTCCTCCGATCCTTATTCCTGTTTTGCTTTTCACAAGAGAAGAGCTGGAAACATTGCTGTATCGAACAAAACTGCAAAAACCAAGAAAAACCACGATGGCTGTTGTTGAAGAGAACTGGCAGACGACACGATCAACTATTGCGGAGAGAACCACTTTTATTTTCAACAACGAGTTATTGAGNGTACTTGGCGAAGAAATATATGGTGCCTCCACTCGCTGAGAAATGTACCGCATATCTGCGCGACAATTTGAAAGCATCCAACGTATTTTGCATTCTGCCGCGCGCTCAGAAGTTTGAAGACAAAGATTTGGAAGATCGATGCTGGGAGGTGATCGAGAAGCAGTCAGAAGAGGCTGTGATGTCAGATGAATTTGTCACAGTTGAGCGACCTGTAGTCGAGTCTGTTGTGAAGAGAGAAGTGTTGAACGTGAAGGAAGTGGAACTGTTTAAAGCTGTTGATCGCTGGGCCACAAAAGAAAGTGAAAGGCAAGGGACAAGTCGTGATGGAGACGAAAAGAGACGAATTCTTGGAGAAGAGATCGTAAAAGCGATACGATTTCCACTGATGTCGCAAAAGGAATTTGTCTCTTTCGTAATTGATACTCACGTCCTTACTTATGAAGAGGTCGGCGATATGATGAAACACTACAATGGTGTTTTCATATCTTCTTTACCCTTCTTGCAAGCTCCAAGGATTGGATTCGCTACACATCGGTGCCGCAGATTTAGAAAGTTTCTTGCGCCCGTTGGCCGTTGGAATTACTCCGGTAATCCTGATTCTATCAATTTCAGTGTAGACAAGCCCATCAAGTTTTTTGGAGTTCAGCATTTTGGTTCTGAAGGTGGAGAGTACACAGTTTCCACAGAAGTGAAAGATAGCACTGATGGCTCCTCTCTGGTAAAACAATCTGGAGTCTTCTCCTCTATTAAGGACGAAACCGATTCCTATTACAGCTTTGATGTACAGTTTGATCGTCCAGTTTGTTTGGAGAAAAGTAAGGAGTACAAGTTAGTGTCGCTTATAAAGGGTCCACAGTCATGGTTTGGACAAGAAGGACAAAGATCTGTTGAGTCTCAGGGTATAAGAGTGTTCTTCTGTACCTCGGACGGTAGAACTAACGGGACCTCTGATACAAGAGGCCAGTTTCCTGCCCTATTTATAGGCTGAAGCATTCCTTTGTAGTTCTTAAAAAGCGTTCTAAAGAGCGGGGGAGGGAGGGGGGAGGGGTTTATAAATACCCAAAACCCAGTACCATTGCCATATATTTTGTTTGTGATTTCCAGTCCCAGTGACACAAATCCCATTGTCATAGTGAAGAAATCCCAGTTCCCATTTTACCAAGGCCCAAGCTAATAACCTGTACACATGTAGTTTGATGTTCAAGAGTCCTATCTACATTGGAACACTGCTTGACGTAAAAACTTCGTTCGCAGGGTCCGTCTTTTTCCCAATCCTGGAACGAGGTTTGCCCCCCAGAAATCCTGATCTAGTAACAGTTTTGTTAGTTGTGAATGGTCCAAGTAACACTCAAAGTCTGAGTAAATACAACCTAAAAAGAGGATTGTGACGGCACGTAGAATAGTAAAAAGGAAAACATGAAGATAATGATAATTGTATTTCAGTCCAAAGTTTAGTTTAGGAGGCACAAATGGGCGTGAAGACTTTTGGGAATATATTTTAAACACGCATATGCTATCCCAGCTGAACTATTAATTCGCCGGCTGATGAAACAAGCCAACAGCAAACCCTATTAATAGTGGTAATTTAGCCATGTGTATGAAATAAATTGAATTTGTTAACAGGGGAAGAAGGGAAAGGGGCAATGAAAGTGAAAGTAATTTTGTTAGTTAGAGAAACGGAAACGGAATATTTTGTCAAACTGCGCTATCGACATTTTCGGCACCAAAATGTTGGGAAAAATTTTCGTTTGGGGCGCCATAGTCCCCCTTGCTCCCCTCGCCGCTTATGATGATTCAAAGAATTCTATGAATACTAAGTCAATCTGTGCATTACTCCAGTTGGTGTCCATAGCGGCAAAATGTTAACCTGCAGTGCAGGTGTAATAGGAAACTTAAGCTCTGATGACGGCGTCCCCAGGGACGACGTCCAGTAAAAATGGAATATTTATATTTTACTCTGTTCAGTGCGATTAATTCAAAAAGAGATACGAAATATTTGCGGTCGCAGCCCACGTTCTACACACACTTGCAGAACTTGGTCATTGTTTGTTGTTTTTTTCGGAGGGTACGAAATAAGCGAAGATTTATAATGCACGTGCATAGATATTGTTTTGCTCATTAAAGCTTTTGTGTGATGACGTTCTCGTTGCCATCGCCGTCGTAGTTTGCCTAAGTTCCCTATTTTTGGCACGCGAGTGCACATTTTCCTATTAGGCCGCCATCTTGGATTAGGTAGCTGTGGAGGGTTCGGGTGGAGAAAAATTTGCAGAGGGAGTAAGCAATGCAACCAGTTACAATCCAAGATGGCGGCATCGAAAACTTGGGTTGCTTTTCATGCCAGAGCGATCGGTCAGAGACCAGTGGAGGAAAATTGGAACGACATTTTCCTATCAAACCGGGCTAACCAAAAGGAATGGCTCTTACCATATTTTTTTATTCCTTTTCCGAATTTTCTACATAATTGAAATCTACCAAAGAGAGGTAGGGCAATGAACCGGTTTGTCAAAATGGAACGGCAAATTTCGGTTGGACCAGTCCGACCGGTCAAAGCGGATCACCTCTAGAGATGTAAATGCTTGTTTATTCAGTTCAGGTAAACAGTCAACTAGAAAGCCAAAAGAAAGTTCCAGATGTTTACACTATTTTCCGGCCGCCATATTGGTGTACCAGGGAGGCTGTGAATTTGCGCAAAGCATTTCGACGAATATCTGATGTTTGGGAAAGCGCAGAGACCTAAAACTTGGAAAGGTGTCTTCTTTAATTATCTCCTGTAACATTACAATTTCTTGACTTTATCCACTGAATAGTTTTTGATTTACATGTATCTTGACGAAAATGTGTGCAAGCAAGGGTATGGTTTGCTGTTTTCCAATGCAGGATTTTGGGCGAGATTGTTGTATATGACTTGTCATCGACGGACGTGAGACTGCAGGTTTCTGCGTGACACACAACAGATCATGTTGTTGTGTGACAAGCAGTAACACCAACGGCCACTTGTCCAGCGGTAGCACTTCCTCTTATTGTTATTCCTGTTTCGCTTTTGTCAAGAGAAGAACTCGAAACATTGCTGTAACGAATAAAACTGCAAAGACCAAGAAAAACAACGATGGCTGTTGTTGAAGAGAACTGGCAGAAAAAACGATCAACTACTGTGGAGAAGACCACCTTTATTTTCAACAACGAGTTATTGAGTGATGTGAAATTTGTTGTTCCAGTGTCAACTAGCGAAAGTGAAAGTAATAAGGTGATCCCGGCTCACAAGTTTGTGCTTGCAATCAGCAGTCCTGTGTTCTAT